TGTCATGGCCATTTCTACTGATCAGCAGCGAGCCTCACAACGTCCCGCCAAGTGTGTGTGTGTGTTTGAGGAAGTCCGCGGACTGGTCCAAACGTAACGGCTCTGCGGACGTTAAGTTACGTCACTATACCCAAGAAGTAAACAATGGAAAAAGAGAAGTCCACAACGAGGCGTTCTGGGGCAGCATAGACAGGTCATTTCTGTGTTAGAGTTTTACTCGCTACAGGGTGTACTTTGAGGGTTTGTGACTCTGCAGACCGTTTACATGCAGAAAAAGCAACATAACACACAAGGGGACGGGTAATAACCAGAAAAGCATGACATGGGACCTTTAATGCACAGACTAAATCAATCAATAACTTCTAATGTTCCTGTGTCGATTTGTTTTGCAAGGCAGTAAACCACAGCTGGAGCTAGTTGCTTGTTAATGGTGAAGTATTATATAGTCACACGTTGGAACTCTGGTCGTTTGTTATTGATGATGCTGTCAGCGTGAATGTCGGCATATGTATTTACTCTGCAGAGTGCATTCTAAATAAATAAATAAGTTATATTTAGGCAGGTGGAACATTCTCTGTCTATATATGTAAGGTGTGAAAACCATACCATGGGTTTCGTGGGCTCCCTTTCTTTTGGAGATATCAGTTCTCTGATGACTACAAAACAGAGACAATAAGGACAATTTGGCACACTGACACATTCTGACAGAGAAATTGCTTCGATGGTAATGGCAGAAATCCTTATTTTAAATTAAAGTGATAAAAGGGCCTAACGTGTGGATCCTGCATCAAAAGATTCTCATTTTTAAGAAGATCCGTAAATCCCTGGCTCCCCCAACAATAAATATGTATGCCCCCATAGCAGTACAAGCCGTATTAACACCAAATACATAAATGAGCTAAATTCTAATGTTCAATCTAAATCACACATCTATACAGTGATTTTCAATTTGTGGGACTCCTTGGATGTAATGCCTGATTTCACGGTCGGCTGCACTTCATGTCACGTGACCGCTGAACTACAACTAGGCAAATAAGTTATAGATTTTTTGAAAATCAGTCATAAGCTCAACTAATGCGCGAGACAAGGAGTCAATAATAGATTAAAGACAGAGAAGCAGAGACACCCAAAAGGCAATCATGGGTCCATATTAATTATGCTAATGACTTGGATTTGCTACTTCATTAACCACCATTTTGAGCTGCTTGATCACAAGGGTAGCTCCGCATCCAAAAAAACACCAGACAGAGAGAGAGAGATTGTGTGTGTGCTTGCATACATCTTTGTGCATGTATGTGGGCACACATGCTAATTACAACATCTGGTAATCACTACAGAGACAATTAATTAAGTTATATTTCGGTATCTATATGAGGGAGCGGTAATGTATGCATTTTGTATACACTACTACTACTACACTCTTAATTGAAAATGTTTTTGAAATGTGTTGTTTTCTATTAACCAGTGGATTAATTTCTTCATGTTGAAATACTCCCCTCAGATCTAGTAGATGATTTCCCGCAGCTTTCTTTGCAAAACAGCAGATGGGAGCAGAGTTCAATAACAGTTATGTGTGATTTCCCATTAAACTCATCAGAATACATTTGTTTTGGGATTTGTGGAACATTCTTACTAATTTTTGGAGTAAAAAAGGCAAATAGTTTTGAAAACCACTGATCTGCACAGTGCATGACCAGCGTACTGCGCACAGGATGTAAACAAGATACTAAACTAATGATCCTAAGCTGCATTGGTGCCTTTGGGAAAGCCTAGGAGTTGCCAAAGGAGTCAGTGCAGCAAAGCATTTCGAGGACTAAATGAAAATCTATTGCCAATGATTCATTTCACATTTATCATCAGCCTGAATCATGGGCTTTTCTTCTGCAGACATAAAGATTATTTGATGGCTCGACAAAGACAAAGGGAAAAATGAAGTCTTTTATATTCCGAGATTGTTGCTGTCAACCAAGAGCGGACCTCAGTGTTTCCCCGTTCCTTTGTAAGTAATTTAAATGAGCAGAAATAAGTTCGTAGGGTTTGGGGTGTACGAGGCTGTCAATGTGTGGCAGTCATTTTATATCGATGTTTGCCCCTACAATAATTGATGTCTTTGTCTTCTGGTGCTATTAGACAAACATGGCAAGTGTTCTACAGAGCCATGTGTCTGTCTCATTAACAATGTACCATCACGTTAATTTGACAGGACCTGATGGAGCTCTTCATAACACACTCCAGCTCTGCTACACGCTTCTATTGATTTCTACTGCCCTCTTCACCCCATGGACTCGTTGGCAGGTCCACCATTACTAACTCATGTCATCTGGAAAAGGAGTGTCCAAACCTATATAACTTTATTTTAAATTATAGAGGAGATCCCAACTTTTCCAAATAATCCAATTCTCAAGCTGAATGTGTATAAAGTTACTCCTGAAATTTCCACTTTTTAGAATAAAAGTTTGAAATAAGTGCAAGTTTGATACGGCATAAATTGTACATTTACCCTCTGTGGGACTAATAAAGGTATTCTGATTCTGATGCTGAACAACATCCATAACATTCATCTGGCTGCTATTTAGAAATTATGTATCTATTTATCTAGTATATCATATTCCAATAGACTCTTATTGCACTATTTTTCTTTTTGTATTTACTATTTACTTGCCCTATATTTTTCTGTTTACCTGTTTTATTGTGTTGTACTGTTGGAGGAGCCTGTGACCTAAGATTTTCATCGTCATAACTACACTAGCTATGTCCGTATGACAAAAATAAAAACCTTGAACCTTGATTAAGTGCTGGAAAAAGTAGATGTGGGTCATTATGTCGAACAAAGAAGTTAACAATTTTACTTCACTAAAAGGGTAGATGCGATTATTTGCAAACAAAAATGACCCTGGACTTGTCTTTAAGGGGCATCATTTGACAGGGGTGAAATTAGAATTTGGAAGCACAGTAGGTTTCGCAAACTCGGGAACAGATTTTAGCCAGGAGTCCTGGGAAATCACTGATTCTCGATTTGTGACATACAACCCTTTATCCCACATTTCCAAGGGATATGATAAAAGGGTACTTGATCAAGATTGACATATGGCAGAAGGATTACAAATAAACCAATCCAACATATTTCCATCAAAATGTTGGTTCATTTTATTCCAATACAAGAAAAGCTGATATGCGGTTGATAAAACGATTTTTTCTAAACAGATAGAATGAAGATTTTATTTAGTTTGTTTGTATAGTTATCTGTTGTAAACCTCAGACTTTTCTGAATGAGAGTAGTGTGAAGTAAAGAATAAAATATTTTGGAACATACACCTGAGAGCCACAAAAGGAACGAACATTTGACTGATGTTCGTATCTATAGCACCCCAAGCATTTCAGGTATAGGAACTGGTGTGATTACCAAGTAACCTTAAAGCAGGATTATTGTTTGATATTTCTTCCTCTGGTTACTGGATGACCATCACACTGAGCTTGTATTTAATTTTCAGGGCAAAACAACCGTCATAATAACACTGTTGTTCCTCTTTGAACAATAAAGTCCAACACCTGGCATGGCCCTCAACAGATTGCTATGGGCTGAACAAAATAGCACACAACAGGTGCCAAATACAAATTTATTCAAGTGTTGATAATTAATGTTGGTGAAACATTACCTTTATGACAATGCAATCCCTCATAATCATTCCACTATGCTATCATAAGCCATGAATTGTATTTGTGATGCAGTGGTCACACAAATGGAAATGATTAAGTAACTATGACAACACTTGGTGTGATTTTATCATTGTGTGTGGATAGTGGTGTATTTTCTGTATTAGAAGTGACTTTCCGATTATGTGGAGCTTATTTGAATCCAGACACTCAGACAAATCTATTGGGAGTCGGAGTCGGTCTGTGATTCCTAATGGAACAGCTCAAGGCGGTAGATTGGTATGACAACAAAGATTACAGTCTGCACTTTTTTTTATGTTTGGGAGGGGGTCGCTTGAGTTCACAAATAATGATTAGATGGCCACAGGCAAGAGGATACCAAGGGGAATATTTGTCAAACAGCATGATGTAACCAATGCTAGAAAGCTACCTGTTATTCATCAGATTCCAGAAGAGGAAACCAGTAGGCTGATTGGTGGATACATTTAAACAAAAAACGAAGTGTGTGTAAGTAGGTTCAGGCTTTTTAGAAACAGATAACCGCAGAGGTTTCAAATAAAGCAGAGTGAAAAGACACTTTTTTATAGATATTTTTATTTCTGTTTTTACAGACTTTTTGTCACAACAAAGTCAGCAAGAGCATCTTTTCTGTCCATTACATTGTAGTAATTCATTTGAAAGCAACCAAGAGAGGACCAGCAACCATTTCATAGCGTAAAAGCAGAGGCCATTTAGACATGCAGCAAAACAGGCAGGGCTTCTAATCAAATCCAAAGGCAAGGGGAATGCTAACAGCCCCCACCCCATCCAGTTTCAACTTTACCCCCCATTTACCGAGCCCCCAGAGCCCATCAATTACAAAAAACACAGAAGCTACAACAAAAAATGATTTTTCGCTCTGAAATCTCACTCTAGGGATGACAAAAATGGACAAATCTCTAGAATTGCTTATTCTATTATGTGCTGTTAACATTGCTTCAAAAAGGGATTCAGTAACAGATTTTAAAATTGCAACATTCAAGTTTCTCTAGTTAACCAGCATGGTGATTGGTCAAAGATCACAGAATATGCGTTAAATTAGTCAACAAACGATGTTTGATATGTAAGTGATATGCAGAGTAGAAAAGGAGAATTTGACCTCTGGACCTCTCTCAAACCAACATTTCCAAAATTTCGAGATTGGTGGGACAGTTTGGTCTATTTAAAAAAAGAAATCAAGGTACAGGCCACACATAATGAAAGGTTAATACAATGAAACTTTACAACCTTTCTTTTCAATCTATCTAGTATAGTACAGTGCAATTACTGTTTATTTCATGAGTTTAAGCACTGGCCATACAATACTCATATTAAAGTTGTAGAAAATGTCAAAACACTTTTGATCTATTACTATTTGATTTGCAAAAGAGAACTGCAAATGAGAGATGTGGATTTAAGTACTAAGCCTTGCGTTTACATTACGGAGTGTGATTTATAGTCTGAGCAGTGTTCTAGGATCCAGGTGCGAGAGCGCTCCCCCAGTGTTTGGTCCCTAAGGGAGACATAATTGACAAGACCTTCTGTTATAAATGGCTACAAACAGAGGCCAAAACAAGAGAACATCCTATCCCAAAAAGTTAGGGAAAAATGAAAAAAATAAACAAGTTAAAGGAATATCAATAGACAGACAAAATGACTCTCCAGCAAACAGACAAAAGCAGTGTTTAGACAGAGGTTGATCGGGGCAAAAGGGGGGAGTCCATCTTCTGTCAGGGGACCACTGCATCCATCTGTCTGTCCGTTCACCCACCTGTCCAGCCTCCTCACACACTGTAGGGTCTCACTTCAGCAGAGCCTTTATGACTTCGTCTTCGGCAGCTTCAAAGGCACTGATGCCGTCCGGTCCTTTCCGGTCTTTGTCAGCTCCCTGTGGAGGAGAGGGGACATGAATATTAAAGTGGACCTATCATGCTATATTTGAATAATATATTGGAGGGCCATA